AAAGAAGTACAGGTAAAATTGTTATAGAAATTTAGAAATAAGGACATATACTTAGAAGGAATGAGGAAGGCTTTATAAAGAAAGTGGTACTTGACTAAAGTTTGAAGGCTAGGTAGAATTTGGACATATGGTGGTAAGAGGCAGAGAAGGAATTTAAGGTAGAAGAAACAAAATGGATAAAGGTATGGAATCAGAAAACTTTCAGGGGTAAAATCAAGCAAAGGTTTGGGCTTGAGAACAAACTGTACAGAGGAGGGTAGGGAAAACTGGGCTGGAACTTTACTAAGAAATTTATTAGAGGAACAGTGAAGATTTTAAAGTAGGAATATTACAGAGAAATATACGCTAATACAGACAAAAATATACACACAAAGGGGAAAAAGTCTTCTCTGTAGAAATATAACCATCTTGTAACATGCTTTTGGAATACTGTTGCTAAAAGCCATTAAAATAGTGTTGCACTTTCAAATTGGAGGCATAAATGGGGATATTTCATGTTAATGTTTGTCCTGTGGGATCAGTGACTAAGTCAATCCAAATGTTACCAATGAGGCAGGTTCTACAGACTTATAACCATCCTTACAAATTTATTCTGACTCTAGATTGCTCCTAGACTAAGAGATGCCCCAAAGAACAAACTGATCTTGATTCTTAATCACACCAAAGACTTCTAAAAAAATTAAGATGCTATTACTTATAAAGAATCTAGCTCCATCAGCTAGTTCCTTAGATAGCTCCTTTTTATTACTAATCTACTTAGAACAATTGCTTTTCCTTTGATCACTAATCCTAGGAAACCATGGTCATGAAAAGTCCATCTCAGACTACTTCCCATGATGGGCTCAGTCACCTCCGAAGTGGCTGGGATCTGTGAGTACAGGGGCAAAGCCTCTCTATGGCCAGCATATACTCACTGAGTATACAACTGTACCAACAACTTAGATTTCATGGTTCTAAGGGGGAAGGTGGTATTTACAAGTAGTAATCAGATTCAGTTCTTATCTTGGTTGAAGTTTGCAGGCTTGGTTCTCCTCTGACTTCCCTCATAATAAACTGAAGCCCTAATTTGTAGTGATGGACACATTGAAACAATTCTTGGTGTCTCTGATGTCATCCATCTCCTCAAGGGTTTCTGAGACTTTAGCTCTGTAAGTCTAAAGCTGTGTGCTGTAAACTACAAATGAATCTATAGGTTGAACTGGAGATTTATTTTCCATCTATTTGAACCAAATAAACTATGTATGGCTACAGGGGAGATCTTGTCTTCATGGAAATTTATTATCGTTTCTTTCTCTCTGGACTGTGGTATCAATACAATCACCTGGATAAAAACGCCCAAACCAGAGAATTCCTGTCAAGGCCATGCTTATACATACAGTTTTGGATCTTACCCTAGGATCTCTAAGAAGAAGTGTTCTTAAAGGTTGGGAATTGTCCTTGATAACTCAGATCTCTTTTTTGACTTGGTAAAAGTGGTTGTTCATCTATTAGTTAGATGGAGACTTTAAGAAGACATATCCTTAATGAACCCCATATTCTCTTCCATACGGTGATGGAGTTGATAGCCTCCAAGGGCCCTGCCAACTCTATGATTCTATATGCATATTAATTTGCTTTGAATTGGTCACTTTTGAAAAGTCTTTGGTGACATCTGGCTGCTCTAATTTGAGTGAGCCAAAGTGAGTATAAATATTAATTATTACTTCTGCTCTTAGTCTCTCTTTGAAAGAGATCCATTATTGGTTGGCCTACAGCAAATCCAAAATGAAAAAGAGGTAAGATGGTAAGAATTTTACAAATCACTCCAGGAGAAACTCAAACAATATACAAATAACAGACATATCATGCTTTGTAAAAGGTAATTTGTTTTTGTGTCTATGGTCTACCTATCAATCATCTTGACCTGAGAAGGCATGGACCAGAGAGAGGGTGAAAAAGAAATATTACACAGACTCCATTATTTTAATCAACCAGCCAGATGGGAAATATTATTGATTAGGTTACCAAGCTATGGGTGGAGGAGAGGATAATATAAAATGGTCAAACCATTGTGGCATTTTGGCTAATTAATGCTTACTTAATTTAAGTGAGTATTTAAGTTACATTGAATTGTTTGGTTATCGCATAGATGTGACCACCTAGTGCATGATGTATTACTGTTTGGCTCTTTGCCACCTCCCACTCCTTACAAGTTGATTTCATTTAGATTAAGGACTGGAATGTGATGATATGAGTAGCTTGACAGTAAAGTTATTTATACTAAGTCTCAGACAAAGTAGGCAGAATGGAAGTCCTTGGAATGATACTTCTTCACAGAATAGCTTTATGTAGTAAATCAAGTTATGGCCCTCTAATAAGGTAGATAGCCTTCTGCTTTGCTATGTCAAATGAAATAAAGAACAAGTGGACCACTGAAATCTGCCCACAATCTAAACAGATTCAAACTCTATAACAAAAAATAAGCATAATTGCTAACAATAAAATAAAAGCAAAATGAATTAATTTGAGAATCAGCTGATTTAAGTATTATTTGGCTGAATGGATGATATAATAATGTAATAATCTATGAAGTGAACCCAAACAGGAAAGACAAAATAGAATAAAGGATTTAAATAGATTTTGAGCAATTCTAACTTCCTTTGTGTCTTTCTGTGTTTTCTAAAATTTTCTAAAATGAACATATATTGCTATTGAGATCTGTAGGAAAAAAATGTAAAGAAAAGAACTTAAATAATCTCCCATGAGATAGATGACTGTTTTGTTATGTTTGCAAAGTAGAGTGAAACCTCAAATAGGCAAAACCAAACTTGCAGTTCATTAGCACTTGGCTTTCTTTTCCCAATAATCCATTTGAGAAGACGCAAATAACAGGAAAAAATATGTAAGGGATATGATGAAACTAATTTAAATTTCTGTTGGAAAATTTAAGTTGTTTTTGAAATATTTTGTCTTATACAAAGAATATAAGACACTTAAGAAAACAGCTGTGAAAAAATTGTTTTGGTCTCCTTAACTACCAGCTCCAGCCACTGTGCTAGTAGTAACAAACTGATAGAAATAATCAGTTACATGTAGAAATCAGGCTATACCCCACTAATTAAATCAAACGAGAGTAGGGAATGCTTTTCTTCTTCTCAAATAATTAAAAACACCAAGGCAAATTGAGGAAAACTCACTTTTGGTCAATGCAGAAGGCAGTAGTGGAAAAGAATCCAAGAATTGATGGAGTGATTAAGCAAAGGAAGATGCAACTATGAACAAGACAGGCTTAGTAGGCTAAAGACTATGTTGACATGCTGGACTAGTGAAATATTAAAGAAGCAAATATGAGACAGGATCAGATACAGATAGCTAGGGATCACTCTCATTGCATTGTGTTGCTCAATAAAAAAATTTAGCTGAAGAGTGCTTATTTTGCAGGCCCATACCTGGGACTGTAAGTCCTAGGGCTAGAGAACTGGATTGTGCCTTAGAGAATTTTGATCCTCAGAGCCCCATAGCTGCAGACCCAATCCTCCTGTCTCATCCTCAGTGACCTTTCTGTATTCAGTCTAGAAGGCAGTGCTACCTCCTCTGGGAGATGTGAAGGCCCTGTTTCTTTGAAACACCTCTTAGGTCTTCTCTTTCTCTAGAAATCTTAAAAACTCAACTTTTGACTGACACCTTGACACAAGTAGAGGATGATATTTTATATCTCTTCCTTCTGTACCAGGTACAAAAAACGGAATTAAAAACTCAGCTCAAGAAAGCTAAATGGTCATATCAGCCTTTCTGCATCCTCTTGAACACTGGCATTGTTAAACAGACCACCTGAGGCTGAGAGAAATTAAGAGATAGTAGTATAAGGATGCTGTGACTGAAGGTTGAGGGAAATTTGCTGGGAAGTGCTTTTGACTTGAACTCAGATTTAGGGTGAGTTGACAATGGAAAAATTAAATATTAGTAAGAAAGATACCAAATTATACCTTAGGCATTTCTTTCTTTAAAAGGGGTTGTTCAAAAAGAATTAACTGCTTTGCTGGCTGATATGTTTGAGTTCAGCTGTTTTAATAAAGAGATTATTTTTATAATAAAAGGGAGGAAAAGCTTGCTTAACCATTTTAAACATGCTTGTGACTTAAGACTTATTGCTTTAGTTCATGTGACTATGGCAAGCCACTGCCAATAATTCCTTGAAAGTGGAATCTGGAAAACTAAAAGCATAAAGTAAAAACAAATGCTGAAAGGGATTATTTTAGGGGCAGAAGTAGTGGGCTGAAAATCATGGTAGGAAAGAGAAGGGAGAGAAAGTAAAAACTTTGAGGGAAATGTTCAGTTGGTTCTATGACCTCTATAACTTTTATTCTGACAATGTCTCTTACATTTATTCCATCATGTTCAGAATATGCCTCTGAAGCCCAGTGTGATACTCACCTAGCAAGGACAATTTAATTATGTTGCCTAGATTCTCTTTATTTAGATAGGAAAAGAGACAACAGTTTTGGAAGGATTTTGAACAATAAGCAATAAGAAAACCAAGAAATTCCTTCTTAGCCCTCAGTTATCCAAACAACAAAATTAACCAGACTCTTTTCCTCCCCTTTATTCCCCATGCATTCTAGCCAACTGAGGTCACAGTGGACTGGGATTCACATATATGTTTGCTGGAAGATTTTTTCCCTGGCACTATTATCATAGCATCCGAGTTATAAATTATGCTCATTAAATACTTTCTAGAGATTCAAACAAAATGAAAAAGGAAACAAAGTGACTCCTACTATTTTCTGAAAAAACAGGGACCTTCTTATCTTAGTCCAAGTTGAGCCAGCTATCTTGGAATGACTGAAGTTGGAAGGGGTTCTCTCTCCTTCTTTAGGTTTTACATTCGAATAGCCTTTTTGGTGATAGCTGAGTAGTGAGCAAAGCTTATGAGCAAAGTTACTTCCCAGGAGCTCCCTTATGCTGGAATTAAGCTTGAATATCTCTAAAGATTGGTCATCCTAGGAAGTATAGTCATTCACTAAAGTCTTGCCCGGGCAGAAGAACTTGTTGAATTGGAGTGAGCTTCTCCATTGCCTCACGAAAAGGAGATTCAAATACTGGACCCTTCACTCCTGGGTGGGAGATAGAGAAAACAGTAAGAATACCTTTTCCATCCTAGCCCTTCCACAAGATTTCAATATGAGTGATTCCAACCCCCACCACCACTCTATGACGAGCGTACAAAGTGCTAAACTTCCCTAGATCAAATAAACACTATTATATTGGTTAGGTTTGCATAATTAGGTGTTGCTTTTCACAAGGTTTTTCTTTTAACAAACTGAACAAAAAAAGGAGGCATGTTAATATACAGGTAGTCCTCAACTTACTGATGAGGTGTGTCCTAACAATTTATATGTTAGTGATTTGGAACTTGGAATGCCTTCCTCCATACAAACTGTGCTATATATGTGGTAGTCAGATTTCTAGCCAGTCCGCAAAGGCCGATTTAACCCACATGGAGCAGAGTTAAATTAAAACTCTGGGGAGGGTCCTGAGTCCTGAGAGCAGAGGGACAAATGTGCTTTCGCCCCATCCTTTAAATCCAAAGGAAATTCAAATAAAATGTGTGAGAGAAAGAGGTGGAAATTAAACTAATTTTTCCAACTTCACACTAATTTTTACCCTTCCCCCATCTCCCAGGGACTCATTGCTCTCCCAAGTCTGCCACTGTGACCCTCCATTCTTTAAAACTGCCAACTACCTTATTTTGCCTTATTCCAATCAAAATGAAACTGCCAGGTCTTCCTGGACAGCTAGTTCAGTTCACCTTCATTGAGATATGGGTAATTAATTCGTTCTTCCCCTCCAAAAGGCAAGTCTATGATTAAAAGAGATGACTTGTCAGCCTCAAATTAACCCCAGTTGGTGAAATTTAGAAGTAACCAGATGACATGAAAAGCAGATTTGAGAAGTGGTAGATGTTTGGGACATGTGATAAGAGCTACCGGGCCAACAGTGTGGGCTGCCTGAGAGGCACCTGTGCCTCTTCCACAGAATCTTTTCTTCCTTGTGTATGACCACAAAGGGCCCTCTAAAGATTTCAATTTTTCCCCAACAGATCCCGTGATGTTGGCAGCAGGTCAGAGACATTCACAGGTTATTTGTAAGTTGGCTCTATTCCAGTAAGGGTCAGCCTGTAAATTCATAGAAATTTGGAAACATTCTGGAGTAGGTGGTTGCTGGGTGACATTAATATAGGATATTTAATGAGAGATAAATGAGGTGTCTGAGAGTTCCTGGGTTTAGGTCAAGCCTTCTGAAAGCTGTCAAGGGTGCTCTTCTTGGGGATTTTTGTGATTTTCACAGGCAACCACGGCCATCATTATCAATTAGCAGGCTAATTAAAGCACAAGTACTGATGAGGCAAGGGTCAGAGGTTAAATCTCCTGTCGAGACAGTGGCTTCAATGTTTCATATAACCACAGTCCACAGAAGCTGGCTCTCTGTCAGGGGATCCAGATGAGAGAGTTTGTAAATGGCCTAAGCTACATCTATCTGCATGCCAGGAAAGCACCACTAAGCACACAGCCAATAATGGTGAGTCAGCTGCAGTATCTTCTGCTGCAAAGCATAACACATTCTTAGGAATGGATGAATTCTTATACAGTGCTTCCAATGTCTGCACCATCCTGTCAAAGGAAATCTTTCAAGAGCTTCCAAAACTGAGAGAGAGAGAGAGAGAGAGTAGAGGAGAGGGGAGAGAAGGGGAGAAGACAGGGGAGAGAGAGAGTTTTGATATCTGTGACATAGAACAAAGGGAGCGGGGGGAGGGGGAGAGAGGAGAAGGGAAGGGAGAGAAGAGTGGAGAAAGAGTTTGTATGTCTGTGACTGATGGTGTACCTGTGTTCCCCCACCCATAGGAAAGAATGTTTCTAGAAACTGAATGACTGTGTGTCCCAGCTGCTTATCTGCTTATGTTGGTCATCAGGGAAGAACAAAGCCAAACCCCAGAAAGTGGCAAGTTAGGAGGTAGTACATGAGGCTACAGAGAAGCTGCTTGCTCAGTACAGAAGCCTTTCTGAAACAGAAATGTATGACTAGGACATAGTACATGCAATTGTTGCAGTAATAAAGATACATTGGGGTTTTCTTAGGAGAGAAACAGTCAAAGAAAATTGATAAAGTCCACAGAGGTGAATAGGAAGTGTGTGAGTGCCTTTGGTAGTTGCTGCTAGAATTGTGATTATTCTGGAACATGCTAAAGAGCAAGGGACCAGGAGTGTGTTGAAATGCTCTAATGTTTGCCTTAGAATCTTGTGATTTCCAAGGATATGAGCAGGGAGCAATGGGCTTTAGGGTCGAAGTTTCCATGGAAGAGTCAGTAAGAAATCAAGAAAAAGATGAAAAGAGATACTGGAAGGAAAAGAAGAAAGCAATAGTTCCTTAGAGATAAATATGTCGTGATCATTAGTTTGCTGTTGCTGCTTCACAATCATCCTGTCCAAGGAGGGATGAGGAAAATCATCCTGAATCCAATCCAGGCAGTTAAAGAGTAGCCAGTCTTCATTTTGGTTGGCAATGCCAACCTTGGAAGGGATCAAGCAATGCCTCCAGAGGGTATGACATCAGCATCCCCTTCAAGATGGTCTTGCCAATAGATCCCAAGAAAAGGAGGTAGTTGCAACATCACTGTGTTGCCTAGATAATGTAAGTCTCTAGAGATCTGAGGTGGCTCACCATGTGGTTCAGATGCTCAACAATGAAAGAGTCAGGTGCACCTGCCTGATAACTGGATAACAAGGCCAGACTTGTTAGCATCCAAATGTGTTATCAGTACAGAAGGCAAGGGTCCCTCTCAGGCCAGGGTAGCCAACTTCCCTTGAGTATAGCTCACCGTGCAACAGGCCTCCCCACAACAAGGGTTTTTCCCAACTCAGTGGAGCTTGGAAGTTCACCAGCTACATCACACTATGCCAAACAACTGAAGGCCAAGAGTGGCTCACATGCCAAGGGGAGCCTCAGCTTTGAAAATCTGGAAAGTACTTGTGCTCTGTTTCCTGCTGGCCATTACCTTATGGCTTGTTTCTCACCAACTGCCTTTCTGCTTTTCTTCTTTGGAAGGCTGCAATCTCTGCTGGTTGCAGGCCATGGCCCACTTGCCTGTAGGGCAGGAGACACCAAAATAGGTAATGAAGAGAGTGTGGCAGAACAGGACATAGGAAGATTCTGATTATGTGTCAATTCTACTTACCCATCTTTGCTCACTGGTGGGGGCACAGGAAGAGGCTTCATGAAGCCTTTCTTTCCAACCAGCCAGAAGGTCTCCTCCGTGCCTTTACCCTTATTAGAAAAAAATATGGAAAATCTTAACCACACAATAACCAACTTTTCTAAAGCAGTACTTCTTGTCAGTAGGATATAAGCATTTAGTTGGCTCAGAAATTGCCTCTGCTTTCCTCGTCACCACTCCCTGGAGTCTTCCTTTCTATAAGGCTTCTTTACTATTTGTACCTGAGGCTTAGGCAAGCTCCATAGACTGCCAGAGCAGCCTGATGAAAAGTGAACACCATATCAAGCTGTCATCCAGATGTTTTGTCTACACACAGCTCCATCTTTGGGAATGTGTGGATGCTTGGCTTCATAGTAACCAAACATCTGAATGCTCAATTTAAGATGTTGTTTGTTATTTTTGCCCTAATCTTTTGGCATTACATGAGTCATTGTCTGTTTTATCTAGAGTATATGCATTTGGAGTCTGCTTGTCCCCACACCCTGCCATCCAATGGCTCTCATAAATCCCCAAAATGAAATAGAAATGGAAAACAGGCTGTGTAACTTTGTTTTTAAGCCCAGGGCATCCTGGTTACTTTAAGAAGTCTACACTTCTGCAGTATTCCTTTTTCCTGCCGACTGATTCTTATAGGTAGGGCAAGATGGCAAGGAGATTTCTATCTACAACAAAGTTAGTTGGTTGTCAAGAATCATAGGTCTGAGAAGAGAAAGGGAAGATAAACCCAAGTTAGTCACCCCAGGGCCATCACTCTGATGTCCAAAGAGGAGCCAAATTATCTGCTTCTGTTCTGCCCTCCCCTCTTTCTAGTAAACCTACTTTTCAATGTCCTTTTTTTCTCCTCCTTTCAATTATCTTTTGACTATCTTCTCATTTCCTCTAATCCATTAGAAAAAAATGGGTTTACCAAGATTGAGAAAAGTAATGGGATGTGTTTCCAACTCATTAATCTTAAATATGGTCTTCTTCTCAGTAGCTCTCATTTGGAGTAGTTCTAAATTGTTTAACTTAGAAATGCCAATTAAACTTGCTCCCTTTAAAGATCAAATCCATTGTTCTCTATTTTACATCACATATATTCATGCCTTAATAATGAAAACAGCCATAATAACAATTAGCGCATTTAATTGGAGAATCTTAAAGAATTTTGCAAATATTTGGTTCAAGGCTCTGAACAAGTCCTGCATGAGACAAGTAGGAAAATAATACCACAATAGCCCAATATCTATTAATCAGCAACCAACCCACCTTCAAACGTCCAACAACAGGATTCTTTGGATCTATTCTGTTTTCACAAGAAATAAAAAACTTAAGAATACATTCTATCACTCATTCTTTCATTGGTTTTGCCTTTCCTGTATCAGGATTGAGAATATAGAAATGGCTCTGACCTTAAGCAGCTCACAGTATAAAGAAAAACAACTATCAAGCCATCTCTTGGATTCTAAACACATTAAGTCCAACTCCACTGTCTCTAAAGCTCTTTCTTTTCCTCACAGTACCTAATGAAATGTCTTGTACAGACAGTTACTCAGTAAATAATCAGAATGTTCCATTAATTAGAATTCTCAACCCTTGAGCACTTGAAACACTTAAGGCTCACTGAACCTCCTTTTGGTAAAACATACTGTTAAAACTCGAACTTGAAGAACCCACTCCCAGCCGTATTTAACTGTCTGTCTTGAGATCTAGAGACCCATAGGATAGCATGCCAATTTCCAAGGGAGCGTGGATTATCCGGAGATAAGGGTGGGTCATGGGACATACTATGATGCCAAAACTAGTGGTTGCAAAAGACGATGAGAGTGGTATAGGCTCAAACAAGCTTCCAAATCAAAGAGAATGCAGGGGAGCTCCAGGGGCTCTCAGGTTTTGGAGCTCATCCAGGAGAATTCTAAGAATCCTAGCTCTCTGTTTACACACCCCACTTCCACAATTCTGCTAAGACAGGGAAAGAGGGAAAACAAGTATAGCAACAACTAAAGCCTAAAGAAAATTCTTTGACCCAGTATCAGTACCTGAGCAGTCCTAGAGATCCTCAAAATATTAACACCTTGCTTTAGCATGACACTTTTAAGATACTTTTGCATCTCCCATCTTATTTAATCCTCACAAAATCCTAGAAGTTAGTTTTATTATCATTCTCATTCAGTAAACGAGGACACTGAGATTCACAGAGATTAAATGCTTTGTCAATAAGCAGGCTTAGCTGAGACTTGAATCCATGTGTACTAGACTCCTCATTTTAAATACTCTTCCTTTCACACCACATAACTTCTCAGGTACACTGGAGTCAAGGGGTAGGTCTAGAGTTCAAAAAGCAATTGTTGGGAATTTTGCAGATTGTGAATTTAATGAGCTTCCTGATAATCACAGGTCAGAAGAGGCCTCTATGTAGATCAACCAGAGAACAGAGAGGATGAAGTTACTTGTCCAATGTCACACACCAAGTCACCAACAGTACAAGAATTAGAGACCAGACATTCTAGTCCTCATGAATCTGCCAATATAATCTTTTTATTTCTTAGCTCAATTGCTAGAGAGTGTGTATACGCACTCATGAATACATGCACACATGCAAATATGTATATGTTAAGAGTTGAGGGGAAGGATGGAAGAGATTGAGGAAAGAAGCCAAAATTGCAAAACAGTACTAATGCTTATGCACCTAAGAGTCAAATACTATTTAACCCCAGAATTCATAGACAAAATCAAACTGTATTCTCTTCTAGCAACATGTTTACAACACAAATTGACTGACAACAACCGTTTAGAAAAATCCTTCCAGAATGCAAATCTGTATGAATGTCCCTGGAAAAGATAACTATTAAGCCTAGGTATATACAAAATTTCAGCAAGAAGCTTCCCATTCATTACCCCTTCTTTCCCTCTGGTGTCCCCTTCTCCTCTTCTTTCTCAGTATCTCTTTCTTTTCTTTTTTTTTTTTTTAGTATCTCTTTCTTAATCTCTCTTCTTCATAAGGCCCCTGCCACCCCAATAACCAAGGGCCAATGTGGCATTAAGAAAAGGCTCTTCCTGGGCTGGTATAGTGGTTCACACCTGTTATCTCAGCTACTCAGGAGGTGGAATTAGGAGGATTGCAGTCAAAGGCCACCTTATCAAAAACAAACTAAAGCAAAACGGGCTGGGCATGGCTCAAGTGGCAGGCCCTGAGTTCAATTCCCAGGGCTGCCAAAGAAGGAAGAAAGGGAGGAAGGGAGGGATGGAGAGAGGGAGGAGGAGAGGGAGGGATGGAGGAAGGAAGGAAGGAAGGAAGGAAGGAAGGAAGGAAGGAAGGAAGGAAGGAAGGAAGGAAGGAAGGAAGGAAAGGCTTTTCCTACAACTTTCTGCAGCATGCTCCCAAACTCCCTGGTGTGGAAGAAACCATGAACCTCAAAGGTCCTTTTTGAAGTGAGATTTGCTTTTGTATTTGAAACTCCAAATAGGCAAGTGCTCCTGTTCAACATTTATGGTGCAATAAAAACCATGGGGTGGGGGCACATTGCTTCTTTTTTTCAGTTTCAAAAGTGGTACCTTTTTAGATATTCAGCTTTCAAATGAAATTTCTCTGGTCAGCAACATAGAGGAAAGGCCTTCAGGAAACCAAGCTGCCTTTGTCCTCCTCTGATGAGAAATGACAGAATGTATAAAGGGATCATAAAAACGTTGGGGAATTTGATTTACTGCCCAAGTAACATCCTTGCCCCCATCTTCTCATTGTGTAAGTTCTCTGAAGAGGTGGCAAAAAGCCTCTGTCTCCTTGTGACTCATCCCACCCACTGGAAGATATTAAGGTTCTGTTGGAAGAGATGAACTAACAGTAGCCAGAAAAGGATGTGATTGGCTAAATCATACCTCTCAACCTTTAATTTTTGAAATCTACTTACATGTAAATCACCACCATTAGGGAAAAGGGTACCAATGACAGAAACAAGTTGCACATCACCCAGTGCCCTGCTTTTGCTTTGTCCAAGAACAATCACTAAAAGAATCACTTTTGTGCTGCATAGAATCATAGAAATAAACCAGACTTCCCAAGTTTTAGCCTGATTCTGCTACCAATGGACTGCGTAACCCTCTCAATTTGCTTCACTTCTCTAGGCCTCAATTCTTCATCTGAAAATGAGTCAGTAAGATTATCAGATCCCTTGGGTCTCTTAAGCTAAGTCAGTCAACGGTTTTGGGATCATCCAGAAGAATATGAAGAGAATCCAGTGGAAATATTTTTTTAAAAAAGGAAAATTATCCTATCCTGAATTCCAGGTCAAGTGATATCCCCAACAGAAAGAAAAAAATGCTACAAAATGTTTGTCTTTCATAGAAAATAACTTTGCTCCTCCTGGTCCTTGGAGAAAGATATAAAGGCTCTTTGTAAATAGTAGACCAATGATGTGAATGAAAAGTCACAAAAGATGATTGCTGAGCAGGCAAATAGAAAACCCCAAATCCTCAATACTGTGGCTTATTGGACAATGTTTAGAACTGCCAAAGAGTAAACAAAATAGGAGTTAGGGAATGAAAACAATGGTGCAGCTCATTAGAAAGCCAAATTCTGGGCTGGTTTTTTGGAAAGAAAGATGCAACATACAGTCCGAAAAAAGCAGAAAGAGTCTCAATTCTCAATGATTCCATCCTACTTAAGCCATATTTCAAAGAGAAAAATACTGAGGCAGAAGGGAATTATTTTAGAGCAACCTCAAATGGGGCTGCAGATTCTCCCTAAATTATATCTGTGAGTTCCAGACTCCCGGGTAAGCTATTTCAGCAGACCATAACCTCTCTAGAAGCAGGTGTGTCCAAGTGGTTTGTTTCCAAAAACAAAAAGACATTATACCTTGAGCTCTGTTTTTCCTCGAAGCTCTACTTTATAGCCCTCACTCAGAGTTTGAAGAATTGTTACCGTGCTCAGACTGACATGAATTCGGTATGCTGTAAAAGAAGGAGAAGTATGACTTTAGTTCTATTCTCTCTCTTTGGTAAATCAATGAGAAATTTTCTATGTAATAAATGCCCTTACTTCAAAGTGTATTAGATCCTAAGCAAAGTCCTAGGAGAAAACTTTAGTTAAGGTTTCACAGAAGGAGGAAGGGCAGCGATGGCCTTTTTACAAGGCACAAATAAGGCATTAGCTATAGCACCTATCAGCCTCCTAGACACAATCTCAGATGAAAGGCCATGCAATAGAAAGGTGTTAATTTAGCTTGAAGTTGAGATAGAGAAACCAGCAACCACCTCTGTGCTCTCAGCTGAAATGTGACCTCCTCTGAAGGAAGTCTGACTTCAGCAGCTTCTTTCACAGGCTACTAGAGCTGAACTCCCAAGCTTTATATACAATCTTATTTAAGAGACAAAAAGGTATCTTTTCCATACACATCCTTACAACTACCTTAAAATAAAACATCAATGAGAAACATCCCAAGACCTCTAACAACAAAATGGACATTCATAGCCATCCTTTGGGTGGGTACTTTAAGCTGTATACACACATGAATGTATTATTTTCCAACCTGGGATAAGAGCCTTACACGGGAAACTATCTGTTTAAAATTTTATTTAGAACCTAAGTGTAATTCTTTATTGAAGAATAATCCTTGTTAAAGAGGTAAGATACCTGACCTTCCTGATAACTGTCACTTTATGAACCGATACCTTGTTATAGCTGAGCCTTACATAAAATTCCAAGACTTGCTCTGAAACATGCTTGAGAAAGTCATTCTTTTATATTTTTTGAGGTTTTTAAATTTTTACTTTTATTTTTTATTCATTTTTATTAGCATATATTCATTGTAAATGGGGGATTCATTGTGCCAATTCCCAATAGCTTGACATTGTGTGGGCTAGTGGAGTGACTCAAGTGATAGAGCATCTGCCTATCAAGTGTAAGGCCCTGAGTTCAAACTTTAGTGCTGCCAAAAAAAATTTATAAAAATCTAACTGGAGGCATAGCTCAAGTGCTAGAGTGCCTACCTAGCAACTACAAGGCCATGAACTCAACCTCCAGTTCGGCTAAAAAAAAAAAAGAAAGAAAGAAAGAAAATCATTCTTTTAGAAGCTGATTACAATCTGAGTAGGAAGGCATGGCTGAAAAAAATCTACAAAAATCTTTTACCATATATATTCACAACCACTTTCCTTCTCTTAACAGCTCAGTACTACTGTTTGTGTCTTCCTCATTGACTCACCATTATTCAAAGCCTCTGCTGAAAAAGGGTTGTAGTATTCCTAAAAGCCACATGTCCAGCCAGTGCACCCACTGTCAGAAATGTGTGCCATTTCACTAGCATCTTGTCTTCATGAAGCCTTTCAGTAGAGTGATCTTGCTTGTGAGGAACACAGAGCTCAAGAGACAGATAGATAATTCTAACCACCATCCAGCTATGTAGTAAGGAGGGTCCAAGGCTGGGTTACTAGTCACTGCCATTCCAGAATCTCAGCAGATTCAACTGCACACAAAGGAGATAATGATGAAACTGCTTTTTTGTTAATAGACTTTTGCTTCATGTCCTGGTTTCTTATTCAACATGAGGTTACTAGAGGCTACCTCTTTTTTTTTCTCTTCCTTTTTTTGGCTATACTGGGGTTTAAACTCAGGGTGTTATGCTTGCTAGGCAGGCAGATGCTCTACCACTTAAGCCACGCCCCCAGATCTTTCTGCTTTCATTATTTTTTACATAGAGTCTCGTGTTCTTGCCAGGACCAGCCTGGACAGTGATCCTCCTCTTTACACTTCCTGCATAGCTGAGATGGCAGGTACATACCACCACACACAGCCTTTGGTTGAGATGGGGGTCTTGTGAACTTTTTGCACAGGCTAGTCTCAAACCACAATCCTTCTGATCTCTGTTCACCTGAAAGTAGCTAGGGTTACAAGCTTAAGCCACCATGTCTGGCCTATAAGCTACTTATTTACAGATCTTTAATCTGTTGTAGAGCTCAATGCCATATTTGGTTTGCACTCATCAACTTTTACAAAAGCACACTAACCAGCTGCTGGAGTGCAGAGATCACATGTGTATGCTTCTTTGTATCCCATACAATGCCTCCCTTGCATAGACAATGCTTAATAAATACCTGTTGTGGGTGATTCACTCCATTTTCTTCTTCATACCTGATCACTGGACAAGGTGCTGCCTAAATCTCAAAATTCAATTTCTTCTCTCAACTCTATATTCCCAGTGTGAAATGTGTGGAGTTTTCCATGGTGCAGACAGAATATGACTTCAGCCTTCTACAAACTTACATCAGTCCTGAGTACTGTGCCAAATCTGCATTGCAGTTGCATGATCAATTTCACTTCATCTTGGGTCACACTTCAAGAGCAAAGTCATACGTAAAGTCATATTCACACAGCGGTTCCTGAATGACTACTTCCAGGGCATCTACCATATCTGTGGAGTTTACAGACTTTCCCAGATGTCAGAAAATTTATTCTGACAACAGCTTCTGAGTTCCGTGCTGCCTCCTTAATCATGGCTGCACAGGCTAGATTGAATAAGACTGAACCCATTGTGTAAGCCTGTTTCTGCACATGAGTGATGGGGAGTGGGGTCAGACAGGGCACCACCCACTGTGATACAGGCCACCATATCATCAGGGACTAGTTTGAATATGTTGTTGAAGTTGGAGAAGAGCTTGTCTTGCTTAGTAGCTGCCAGAAGCAGGGCTTAAGTGACTTTCTCTCTTTCTTTCTTTCTTTTCTTTCTTCCTTTCTAAAATAAAATCTATGAAAACTACATAGAGAATATAATGTTCTCTATGATTTTCCTATAGCATGGAGAAATTAAAACTTGCTTTGTTTAACCATGATATAAGTAAAAGGCAATCGACTGTGGTCCTGATAGTATCTCAGTAGTGGTAGTAAATAACCAAGAAAGGATTGCTTCAGCATCTTGCCAGCAACAGACAAATTATGTAACAGTTTGTATAGTTTTATTCTCAAAGAAGAGAGGAAGAAGTGGGACCTTTGATACCATTCTTGTGTTGATAGAAGCTAGGGGTTTTACATACAGACAAGGTGGAATTAATTATTTCAGAATTCCAAGTTCCTTAGATTGAAGGATTATTGCTAACTAAGTTCTAGGGGGCTATTTGATGAGGCCAGGGCTCCTGAGGCCCTAACTAGTTCAAAAAAGGACTGGAGCAGCAAACAGCAGCCATCTGGGAGGCAACTGACTCGTGTGTCTTCACAAACTAGTTGAAAAACTGAAAATGTCAGTCTCTTACCTAGTTCTTTTCTCAACATGACTCCCCCACACCCACCAGGCTAGCCAATTCTTTCCTTTACCCAAAAGACATTTTAAAGTTGTTTTGATAAAATTGACTGGCTGTTCAGTGGCACTTAGCTACAGCTTCATTTCTATAACAAAATAGGTACATGTTCAATCCAATATCACCCCCTACTGGTTTGCTATTAAAGACCAGGAAAATGTGATAAATCTTAATGTTCTCAAATTATCTTTTTTTCTTTAAAATATTAAAATACCAGTACCCTGCTGTCTTTCCCCTCTCCTGAAAAAGAAGTACTTTCCCAATAGTAGGATGACACCATCCCATCCATCCATCTATAGGTACTCACGCAAACCTGTTGATTCCATCCGAGAAGCTGTGTTCACAGTGTCTCCAAACAAGCAGTATCTAGGCATGGTGAGGCCCACCACTCCAGCAACAACGGGTCCTATATGGTAGCAGGAGGTGGGGATTATGGTCAACAGGCATGCACTCAATGCTTAATAGAGGAGCACTACAAGGGGAAGGAATGTAGCTTTGCAAAAAGGATCAAAGTTGTATCAAATAGCACTGAGAATCTTATGATAAGTCTGAAGAAACACTTATAAGTGAATAACAAACTCTTTTCTCTAGGAGAAAGCAAGTTTATAATGATGCCAACATGACTACCTGTCTGATTTACACCTCTGTTCTAAATAATAGTCATATCCAATATGCTTATGTATGTCAGCACGGACCAATAAGCATCAAAAACCAAACCAGAGTAGCCTAGGCAGTGACTCGGGATCCAAAACGTTTATTGCAAGGGAAAAAATTTACTCTTTCCTGTACCCAAGGATTGGAAGAAAGAATCTCATAGGTCTATCTGCCTCCCAAACTCTACCTTTCAAGAGAATTACTGCTAAGACAGTTGGAAAATCTGAAAACAAGCAGAGCTGACTTTCAATTATCTGTGTTAGGGGTGTGAAAGAGCAGTATACATAGATAATCCAAGAATATTTTCTATTTGTTCTTACAATTATTTTTATTCTAATTATGGCTATGTTAGATATTCAGGGTAACTTTTAAAAATTCAGCATCCATACCAAAAAGTCAGTTCACCAGTATCTACAAATTTCCCTACCTTCAACTTTCTGTTCTTTGGGGTTTCTATGCTGAAGGTTTTTTTTGTTTTTTGTTTTTTGTTTTTTTAGCATTTTTTGCTGTTTTCCTGAGTTAAAGTAATAGTTTTGTTTCAAAAATTATTTCTGCTGAGAATAAAAATAAGTAAAAACCATAAAACATTTTTCATTTTGATTCACTTCTTGCTCATTCAGAATTATACACTGAGCCTTGAGGTAGTCACCAAGGGCAGTAAAAAAGACATGAAATATTTTAAGTTGTCCAGGAGATTAAAATCTAATTGACAAAAAAGACTACTGAGCAGGAAGCAATTAAGCAACAACACAAGACAATGTATGGCTGAGGCAAGATAAATAGTACTGATAGAAGTGCTATAAGAATATATAAAATGAAGGAAGGTGCTTTTTAATATCTGACTCACTCAAGAAGTATCCAATGGAGAAGATAGGATTTGATTTGGGTCTTGATGGGTAAGTAGGATTCAAATACGGGAAAAGGGACATAAATCAAAGGTTTGTGGTTGGCATCGAGCATGCATGGAATATTGGGAAGCTCTTACAGATAGCAGTCTATCGGTTCAGGCAGCTGGGAGAAATTGGAGATAAGGTTGGATTAAGTGAGTTGTATAAAATGAAGGACCTTAAGCCACTAAGGAATTTTGAGGAGGGTATTACATCATGAATATTCTTTTCCTTTATTTTCAGATCAGTGTGTAGAATGCACTGGAAGGGGGAAAAGTAAAACCAGGGACACCTGTTAGATGGCTGTTGCAGTAATGATGTACTACAAAGGAGGTGATGATGGGAAGTGAATGGCCAGAAAGGAGTGATAAAAGAGACATATGAAAGGAGAACCAACAGATTGTCTGATTGATTACCAATCAGACAGAAAATTGGCATGGGCTTACAAGTTTATGCTCATTTGTGGGAAAAGATGACTTGAGATTTTGAATATATTATATTTGAAACAATGGTGAATCATCCAAGCACAGGTATCCTGTGCTTGGATTGGACATGTGAAAGTGGAGCTTGAATGAGAGCTGAGGGATTTTCTTTGAAAGAAAAATAATGAACATCTGCCATGTACTAAGCACTCAATATAAAAACATGAGTAAGTTATGGTTCCTGCTGCCAAGGAGCTAAAAGTCTAATGATAGAACAGACAAGACAACATAGATTAATATAGATTATGCTGATTACTATGAGAAGGATGAATGGGAAAAGACAAGAGTGGGAGCAAAATGATGCTATTGCAGTGATCCAAGCAAAGATACTGGTAGCCAAGACTTAAGTGGTGACACTCAAGGCAAAATAGACTCAAGAAATACTTAAAAGGTAAAATATTCAAGAGCTTACTAATTGGTTGAATGTAGGTCAGTGTGAGGAAGGAGTCAAGGATTAACCCCAAGACTAGCTGAAATAACTGGGTCAATGATGGTAACACCAACTGAAATAGAGAATACAAGAAGAGGAGGAAGTTTGTATGGAAAGAAAATAAGTCTGTTTTAAACATGTTGAGTCTGAGGACCATGTGGAATATACAGGTAGAAATGACAACATGATGTTTGATATACAATGCTGATGCTTAAGGGAAAAGATTGTCTTGAAGTTGTGGAGTTAAAAGACATCAGCATACATGTGGTAGTTAAACCATAGGCAAGAATGAGATTACCCAGGAGAATAAGTAGGGGAAAATGCAATTCATTAGGACAGACAAAAGGAATTATCAGACTGTGGTAGAAAATGAAAGTCAGGTTGGAGGGAGTGAGAAATAAACTAGAGGTGAGGATGTACAGAAAGCAAGGAGATCAGTACACTGAAAGCTCTGCAGAAAATGGTAGAGAGCAGGAAGGGCTAAGAGAATCAACAAATAAAGCAGAGAAGCAGCATTCTAAATGAGGAGCATATTATGATAGCAAAGTATCTGTGACATCAAAGGGATGTATCTGTCAAGATACCTGTGAATATGTGAAGTTAAATAGGAAGGATATAACGAAGGGGGAGAGCTTGAATATAGTCAACAATAGGGAATAAGTGTGGGAAAAATATTGAGATTTTAGTTAATTAAATGAATTATCTTAAATACAACAAATACTTAATTTACAGCATAGTCAAACATGGCTCAAACTGAGAAGGACATATTACAAGGGGTGCTGCCCACTGTAGTGGTTCACATGCTTGGAAAAGGGCAAACTTGGGTAAGCATAAAGGAATTAAGCATCCTGGACACCTGGATAATCCAGTTGCCAAGAATCAGGAAAGAACCACCCTCTTCCCCTTCCTTTTCTAGTCTTCCCTAAAGCACATAGGAATGTGTTCTCTTGCTTTAACTTGTTTTGTTACCTGAGTGCAGGCCTATTCGAATTCGGACTGGGACCTCTGGTATGTGCCGCATCTTGAAGGTGCCCACAGAGCTCAAGATATCCAGAGACATGTTTGCAATCTCAGCTGCATGCCTACTGCCATTCCTTTTGGGGAGGCCTGAGGCTACCATGTAGGCATCTCCAATGGTCTCTACCTGGAAATCGGGGGAAATAGAATCAGCAAGCAAGTAACCTTCTCATGTTTCTTTTTTCCCCACAGAGTTTTAGTGGTATGATGGAGATCAGGTGGTCTTGTAAAGTAAGGAAGGCAGAGAGGGGCTATCATTGGTTCACAGGCCTAGCTGCACATTAGAATCACTTAAGGAGATTTATAAAAATACTGATGTCTAGGCCACATAGCCACAGATTCTGAAGTAAGTGTTGCTACTTCACAGGCCCCTGAATGACCCTAGAGAAATATCAGGCTCCAAGAAATTCCTGTGGGAGGAGAAATGTCTGAGACTTTCCCTAGGATGTCCATGGGGAAGCACCCAGGAGAAGTACCAAAGATGCTCCCACAATAAGCATTTCTCTAGATTATTTTGTGTAGATGAGCTAGTGAAGCCTTAGTTGAGTATAGAGAATGGGAGAAAGGAAGGACAAGAAAGACTCTATTCCCTCTGCTTTACAATGCTAATATGATAGAGTTAGTTTTTCAGAGCTTTACAGGTCTGAGAACTGGGTCTTTTTCCACTAGTTACCTCCTCTCCTAGTGCTACCTTCTTGAGAAGAAGCAACACTGACCCTCACCAGCTCAGCAGGAAGGAACCAGTTAGAGCCAGACACCTGGAAATAAAGGCAAATCTGTGCTCCTTCATCTTCCCCACAGAAGTGTGCTCACTCTTTTTAGATAACCAGTGAGTTAAAGTGTTTTGGGTAAATCTAAAAGATAAATAAGCTGAAAGGATTTCTATGAAATGTACTAGTTAGTCTGGGCTACTATAGTTACTACTATATGTTTTCCTAAAAGAACTGCACTCAGAGAATTCAATAATAGTGAAGATCATGAAACTCTGAAGATATGCTGCCTTGGTTAGAACACCAGATTCACCACTTACAAACCTGAGCCAAGTCACTTAATCTCTCTGTGCTCCAATATCCTCATCTGTAAAACAGGGATAATGACAATACCTACCTCATAGGTTTTCCTGAGAACTAAATAACTTAATGTACATCAAAGCACTTAAAACCTGCCTGATAGAGGATAAGAAATATTAAGTGCAAGCTATTACCACCACCACCACCATCTCATCACCAAACAGATATGTCTTGAAACCAACCTTAGGACTGTAGCTATGATTCAGCTCCACAGAAAGTTTAGTATTCAGCAATAGGTTCATCATCATCTCTTTCTATGTAGCCAATAACAATGATCCTTGGCAACTGTAGGATTTTGTACCTCAACATGCTTCCATTCAGTGTCTGACTAACCTGATACAGTTTGAGGAAAAGACCCCTGCTCTCAAATAAGCATGCTGGTTTACACAGAGAAAGGAAGGGTTATGATGCAAATGTCACATAGAAGTGGAAACTCAGTAGCTGGCCATTATCAAAGCCAGTTGATTGACACTTTAGCTATGATAAGTTAGTCACCCAGGTGGTCCTGAGGATATGTATGAAGACATTAGAAAAGCAGGGAGCCTGGCACTGCTGGGCCTTGTTGTGTGTTGTACAGACTGCTATAGGAAACTATGGGTTCTATAACCCAACATAGGGACACTAAGGGAAGCAAAGGTATAGATAAGAGTCTGGTTAAGATAGGGGTGGTGGCAAGAGAACTAAAATTAAGAACAAATCACCAACTTTATATTTCTGCAGTAGCCTTCTCACTTCCATTTCAGATTATCAAGTACCAGGGGAGGTGATTCCAATTTTACAGGTAAGGAAAATGAAAATACAAGCAGGTTGGTGATTCACTGCTAGTTCAATTTTTATTTCCTTTGTATTGTGCTGTTTTTAATAAAAAGGACTGAGAAATTAGATTCCATTTTTGGAGTCAGATAACCCTGTTCTGTCTTGGGAGCAACTCACTAACTCTCTACTGGTGCCATGAAGTACCAAAATAGCTAATGGCCTCATCTCTAAGACCCCCTAACAATTGTCTGTAAAGCATCAGCTGGATTGATTAAACCAGTGGCTGTGTTACTGCCCACACTGAATCATCTTTGATTTTAGTTTCAACTGAATTAGCTTTCAGTGATTTGTTTTTCTCTTCAGGCTGCTTGAGTTCAACAAGGTAAGACAGGTAGCCTGATTCCATGGATTTTTCCTCCACTGTGGTTTCCATGTGTGCTTCTTGATTAGCTTGCAGCTCCTGCTGATTGACAGGTATGATGTCTATTTCTGAGCCCTATTTAGGTGGCTTGGCCTAGCCCTGAGGCTCTCTACCTGACCTGAAAGGGTCCTGTCTAATCTGAGATAAACACATTGCCTTGTGTGTGATTTGAGAGCTGGAACATTTCAGACTACTATGAAGGATCCAATGAATGGAGCTACTCATTCTCCAGCTCTGCCCTGGTTCCTGGGACAGAGGAGCTGTCTAAACATTGGGATGCCTGAGGCATCTTTCTGCATCAATAAGATAAGTATCCATGTTGCAGATAATGTAGAAATGTCCCTACATAGCTATGAGACTTTTAGTTATTTTCTACCTACAAGACAAGACAACCTATAAAAACAAGAATAAGGAAGCATGATGCAAAAATGAATGAATGTAGTAATCTGTTCTCTACCCATCTTCTGTAATCTTTGGCAGAAAGAATAGAAATTGACAGGCTGAAGGAGTAGGAGGAAAGTAGAAGCAGGAGCTTTCAAACTCACAATTAATCACTTCCCAGACCTCAAACCAATAGGTGGGCAACCCAAAGAACCTTGGGTCTTATAGCTCACTGGTGCAATGTCAAGTTCCTTCCTGTATAAAAACAGTATCTAAAAAAGAGACCAAATGTCCATAGCATATATTAGATCCATACAGACTTTACCAAGATGAACTCTGTAGCAGACACCAACTATAAACAAAACACCAATACTTCTGTTGTCCCTCAGTGCCTAGCACAATACTGCCTACACTGTGGGAACTCAGCCAGTGAAATGCAATAACTCTAGTCAACCTCTTTTTAATCCTAATTTTAGAAAACAGCTCAAAAGAAATCTTTCTGATAATCTCTTGCTGAGTTGAGAGTTGTTATTCAGAAAAGTGGGAAGCAATAAATATTCATTTTTAATGGGATACCAACAGAAGTGGTGTTCTACTTAAATTTCCATTCTTAAATAACAACATTCTATAAACTTGCATCCTTCAATTTTGGAATACACATAGATTAGCCTCATATAAAACTTTCACTCTGGAATGTATTTCCCTACTAATTAACATACCTTGTAGACATCATGACTGCCGATGATTGCATCAAACAGTGTATACAGGTCATTCAGAAGATCCACCACCTCAATGGGCTCACTCATCGCTGAGATAGTGGTGAAGCCCACAATGTCGCTGAAGTACAAGGTGACCAAGTCAAAGCCCTCAGGTTCAACTGTGCATCCCTTTTTGAGGGATTCAGCAACTGATCTGAAAAGCAGATATGCCTGTGCCTAAGACACTGCTTCTGTGTATACCACACACACACACACACACACACACACACACCTGCCAAAACACAATTTCTCCAAAAATTACTGCTAAGTAAATGATGAAAGAGACTGTCACTTGGATAAAAACATTAATTTGTTCACTTATTCTACAGATATATATTGAGTTTTTGCAATGTTTCAGGCCCTGTGTCAGGGGCTGGAGTATAGCATTGAATAGATAGACCTGGTCCGTGCCTTGGAGTTTTTTCAGCTCTCAATACTTCTTCCTTACTCAATGCCCCTCAGGCAATATTCCCAGGTGGTTGCCATTACTTGAAACTAGTTTCCTCAATTACCTCCTAGAAGATCATGTTACAGCATGATAAGGTGCTCAGAAAAATTTGGAAATTGTAGAAAAAAACCTGGAAAAACAACCCTTGTTACTTTCCTGTATTAGCTCAAAGAGCTGCCTTCTTTTAATTGGCCAACTGCCTGGCAAAGTTTTGAAGTTAACATATAGAAAAACCAAGGCACAAAAAACCTAAATGACCAGCATGATCCACAAGTAGTAGAAAATTAGGATGTGTGCTCTGCTCCCTTGGTTTCCAATTCTACTTTGATTTGAAGGTGTGACTCAAACCCACTGGGAGTAGAGAAGGTGCAGGACAGGGGGAGGGAGCAGTTAGTTGATGGGTAATTTTTTCTTCTTTTTTTTTTAATGGAACACACTGTTATAAGGATTCACACTCCTCAGGTGTTCACACATACGGTGGTAGCATCTGTGTTAGAAGCTTTTCCGTTTTCTGTTTTTCAATTTCCAGTTCTTCTGTCCGCTCCCGGATCAAATCTTCCAAGTTGCTAGAATATTGCTCCAACATCCGAAGCATAGAATCAATGATATTGGTCTTTTTCCCTTTATTGAATGTTTTAAACTGAAAGTAAAACAGAAAAAGGAGCCAGGGAATGCTTACTCCCAAACTCAGAAATGATGGAGCAGGCCCCCTCATCACAAATCCTTCTCTCTAAAGTGCCAGGGAAGCAAAGATGAGCCTGGTAAACACAAAAAGTCACCAGCCCACCCTTGCTGTCATGCTGGCCCATTCATAGGACTCTTCTCCCCACTCTCCACATAGTTTTTTTCCTACCCTTCTGGTTCTTTCAAGTTTGAGCAAAGGGGCTCTGGGCAGGCTCCATTCAGTTCAAAGATGCTAACACAAGAACAGTAGCCACTTCAAAGGCAACAATGTCTGGTCTTGAGCCCAGGCCAGTTGTGGGTAAGGTAAGGGGAAAGGGAGCAGGAAAGCAATGTTTTATCATTCTAGATTATCGACCTACTAAATTATCTTTGTCCTCAACTGCTACTGTATTGTCAGTTCTTGGACAGTGGAATGTTCCTTGGTCACTTAAAGAGGGCTCAAGATCTACGTGGTAAGATCTACCCCTATTTCTTACCATGGGGTCTAAGAATAATGGTGCCCCATAGTACCCACTCTTCTGGTCAGTCCGAGTCATGTAGAAATTCAACTAGTCTTGCCCTGATCCTTTAGAAGTGGCTGTTTGCCACATATGTTCAATACATCCCCCTGGGACTTTGCCCATCTACAAAGAGCTTGACATAGCATTGCAATCATGAGGAGTAGCCCCCTCCATGCTGTTATATTCAGCATGCACATGGCTACATCAACAACAATAAAAGACTGGTGATGCTTTTGCCAAGTAGACTTCAAAGGCTCTATCTCAATGAACATTCTTATACAGCTGGGCTACAATGCTCTAATGTAGCCCCTATTGTCCTAAGGGGAACACTAGGAGTTTCCTTCTCAGCTTATCTACATCTATATGTCCACCAAGGTCCTGGAGATAACTTTAGCAGCCAATTCAGGTCCTCCAGGCTCCTTCTATTGCTTAACTTAGGGAACTTTATTCTCTTCTCATTTAAGTTCTATTAACTATGGGAAATTCAGAGGTTAGCCTTGTCGTCAGATAGGCTGAACTTCCACTGAAGCGTTTTAGTGAGGGTAGCTTTAGCAATGGCTTGTTTGAAGGCTGCATGATATGCACTCTTCCCATCTATCACCAGCTTCTCTGCTGCCTTCTGAAATAACATCTTTAGCAGCAACACAAGGACAAATGCTTCTTTCTCTTGCCTCATGGTAAGTTTTTAAAAATGTGACCTTTATAATCCTTTGCTTTTTCCATATTATTGCACACCTGTTTTGAGTGTCCTCAAGAAATCCAGCCAGGCTAATGGAGACATTGTTAGCTGGGGACACGGATGACTTCATAAGCAGGGCCCCTCAGGCTTTCAATCCAACTCTTTCTCTTTTCCGCCTCAGATACCTGCCACTCATAAAGCATCTTAGTGCTGTACTCTAGCCAGACTCAAAAGCCTCTCCACAAGAGCTGACACAGCACTCATAGAGAGCACCACAGTTTCAGTATCCTGCAATTTCAACAAAGCTTAAACTGCATGCTTCAACAGAGGAAATGCAACCTAGTTTCCTTAGTAGGAGCTCTATCTGTTCCTCCACAACCGCCCCCCGCCCCCCCCACGGCAGTCCTATGTCTACCTCTAGGGAAAAAATCAACCTCCTTAGAAATTCAATATCTTAAGGAGTGGGATTATCACTTTACATACACCTATTGCCTCAAGTAGTTCCCTGGGAACCCAAGGACTCTCCTCCTTTTGAATTCTACATTTGAATTCTCTTCCTTTCAAAACAACAAATTATTTTTCCTAACACTCCAAAAATAACCTGGTACCACTGAAATGGTATTCTCATCAATATTCCAAGGATCTTCAAAGAAAACATGGCTGTGTGAGGTGCCCCATCTGTTCCATGATTTTCCAACAGTCTCAATGCCAATCTTTGCAAATGCCTGGTGGTTTAAAGCCACTCCCAAGGTTGTTTCTCCAAGAGAACATTTTCCTTGCAAAGAGCTCCTTCCATAACATGATGAGGCCCAATGACTTAGCCTTGGGTAGACTGGCTTCAAGATGGCTCTGGGCAGTAATAAGATTCACAGATCCTTACCTGATTAAATATTTCATCAAAAGTTGGTCGTTGTTCTGCAGCCTCAGCCCAGCACTGCTTCATCAGCTGGAGACATTCTGAAGGGGCATACTCAGGAGAAACCACTGGTCTGTACACAGGAGGTGACTTCTTAAGTCTCTGTATGATTTCTGCTCAGATGCAAGAAGAGAAAAGTTTATAAATCATGGAAATAGGAAGAAGATTTAACAAAAACAATTTAGTTTATCCAAGAGAGGGGTTGGTCAGGATAAAACATAGAAAGACTGTCTCCTTTGCTTTCTCCTTAGGTGGCTTGAATGCTGATTGTATTTTTGCAAAGGCCACATCAGACCTTCTGGGAATTAATGAGTTGAACTATTGGTATCATTTAAACACAACTTTATCATGATTCTGCTAGGTATTAGATGCAGTTTATCTGATGTCAATTCCAATGTTGTAACTTTCAATACCCTGGCTCTCCTCACCTGCCCCCAATATATATATTATACATATATATATTATATTATAATATATATAATATATATTATATTATAATATATATGTTATATTATGTTATAATATATATAGTATATATATATATATAAGCTATATATATATAGCTTATATATATATATACTATATATATATGTACTATATATACTATATATATATAAGCTTTCCAATCCCCACCAAAGACCTATTTAGTTCTTCTTGCAGGCCCAGGCCCAGCCCAAGTCCAGGCCTTGGGCCCTGGCTAGTTTCTAGGCAAAGGGAATTGAGAACAGAGTAAACAGTTCAGGGCCTTATCAAGACCCTCCTGGTTGCTGGTCCGTGAAGTCCACTTTCAATGAAACATTTACTATGTATCAGACTATGTGCTGAGTATTTTACATGTATTGTTTCATTGGATTCTCACCACAAATGAATGAGGGAGCCAATTGTATTTTCTTTTTACAGATGGAAAAACTGAAACATAGAGTAACTTGCCTGAAGTCACATAGCTAATAAGTGTTGGGATCTGAATTTGAACCGAGGCACTCTCCATCTACCACATTTTTCTGCTTCCAGATGCCTTAGACCTCAACTGGGAGTTCCTAAATTCCCTATTCAGACCCAAAAGCCATTGTCTGGATCAACAAGATTGACTTTTTTGCAGAGAGAAAACTCCCTGGCATGAAGAAAATTAGTAGCTCTCAATATCCCCATCAATCCATACTGGGCCTCAACCTGCTCCCTCTGCTTCCAGCCTACATTTCTCCAAACCACTCTTCTTTTTTTTTTTATTGTTTTTTATTGTTTTATTATTCATATGTGCATACAAGGCTTGGGTCATTTCTCCCCCCTGCCCCCACCCCCTCCCTTACCACCCACTCCGCCCCCTCCCTCTCCCCCCCCCTCAATACCAAGCAGAAACTATTTTGCCCTTATTTCTAATTTTGTTGTAGAGAGAGTAGAACCACTCTTAAAGTACAAATCTGACCATGGTACTTTCTTGCTCAAAATTCCTTCATGACTCTCATTGCCCGCAGAATGAAATCCAAGCTCTTTAACATGGCCCCTAACTATCTCTTCAGGCTCATTTCTCATCCTTAGTCTCTCCACCACCCCCAACTCTTAACATCTGTATCATGAGCCAAACCTTACTTGTCCTAGCCTGCAATGGCTGTAATACTCCAACAGTGCTGTTTCATATCCTACTTAGTGCCCTTGCTTCCATGAAAGTTGTTCTGATTTTGCTTCTGATTTCTCAGCTCCTTGTGACGTAACGCCTTCTTCTCTAACCCAGAGCAAACTGTACCCAGTAATGGTTTCCCCACTGCAGTATTCTGCTCTCAGTGCAATGGATGCCATGGGAAAGCACCCCTTGCACTGTGACTGCCCCCTACACTTTCTGGTAGAGGGAGTCCTTGTCCCTTTGTCAGAACCTGTCCAGTTGAATGGGTCACCTCTCTGCTTTGGCCCAGCATGATTCATACCCTTGAGGATCTCACAGTCAAATAAAACCAAACAATGAAAAATAATACAAGTGCTTCAGCAGAAATAGATACCACAAAGTAAGCACAGAAGGGGTACCTGACTCACAATGAAGAAGTCAAAGCAGCCTTCCCCAGAGGAGGTGACACAAGTTGGATGGGGCAAGGTGGAGAGGAAGGGTTGGAATTCCAGGTATTGTAAATAGCATGTGCAAAGGCACAGAGGTAGGGGAGGCCATGGTGCTTTCATGGTGCTGCCAGCATGTGATTTAGCTGGAGTGTGGGAAGTGATAGAAGATAAACCTGGAAAATGAAAGGATTGTGAAGGACCTTATATGCCAGGTGAGGAGTCCAGGCTTCATTTAGCAAGTGATGGGGAACAGTTGGAGGACTTTAATTAGAGGTGTAATGTGGGACTCTAAGTGTGGCAAAGGATAACTAAGTGGCTTTTTAAAATCATTTTAGAAACTTTTTATTTTGAAATAAACTTAGACCTCCAGAAAGGCTGTGAAAATAGTGCAATGATTGCCTATATGCCCTTCACTCAGCTCACCCTAGTGTTAGTAACATATATAATTACAGTACAAAGGAAATGAGCGTGTGTATAATACTATTACTAGAGTCCTTACTTGAATTTCATCACATTTCCCCTAATGTTTTTCTGTTCTGCAGTCTAATTCCTGATCCCATACAACATGTAATCTTTACATCTTGATCTCCTCCATTCTGTGACAGTTCCCCATTCTTTTCCTGTCTTTCATGACATAGATTCTTTTGATGAGTACTCGCCAGTTATCATGTAGAATACCTCTCAAATGTGATTTGTCTGAAGTTTTCTCATGATTAGATTCAGGTTGTGCATTTTTTTTTTAGCCAGAACACAACAGAGGTGATGTTGTGGTCTTTTTTAGTACATCATATCAGGGATACCTAGTGTTAGTGTGCCTTATAACTGATGATAGTAACCTTGATCTCTTGGTTAAGGTGAGGTCTGCAGGAGATTCCATCTGTAAACTTACTATTTTTTCATTTGTAATTAGTAAATATCTTGTGGGCTCACACTTTGAGAATATGCAAATAATCTATTTCTCCTTAATCTTTCACTCACTGATTTTATCATCCATCCATGAATTTTTTGTTTTGATGGGAGATGGGGATGAAAACCTGTGATATGCCACAGGGAAATACTGACATTCAAGAGCATCACAAGAGATACTAAAATACTTGGCAAAAAGTATGTCAAATGAGTAGAAGGGACTTTGGGGGGAGGGGAGGAAGGATATAGGACATAGATTCTAAAGACCGTAGGCTTACATCACAATTTGTAAAAAAACTAACTTCCTGATCAGGGGAATTTCTTCCAGACAGCTAAAGCAGTCTGGCTCCAAGTCCCACCTGCATACAACATGGGCTGCTTGCAGACTAGCAGTTTGTTAGCATAAACAGTTTTCTGGCAAACCATGACAGCCTGGATTGGCCTGATGATCTGGGTCACAGTGGGCCACTGGTGCCCCTTTCTCACTTCCCACTTACCTTTGGCAGGCAGATCCATCATGCAGAATGGGGCACCTCGGACCATCACTTCTTGCATGATGATGGCAAAGCTGTAGACATCTCCTGCAAAAGAACCTAACCTGCTGCCCCTCGGGGTTCTCAACAGTTCAGGGGCCGTCCACAGCAACTCTGCAAAGAAAGAATTGTGTAATGAATGCAAGGAGGATTAACTGACATCTGCAATGCCCTCAAGGGCTCTAAGGGTGCTGTTTTATTGACTGCTTTATATTTTTATTAGACAGACTGGCAGGCTAGTGCCCCCAGGGTCTGAATCTATTAATCTAAGTAATTACACACAGAGAAAACATACTACTCTCTCTACCCCCAGGACCCACACAACCAGACACAACAGAGGTGTGGGGAAGGGCAAGAAGCTTGAAGTAGAGACACTATCTGGTGCTTGCTTTCTTGCTCTCTTGAGCCTGCAAATAGCAATTGGCAGGTTTCCAGGGAAAGGCAAGTGTACTGCCAGACTGGTTGCCATGGATTTGCTGTTTGCTAAGATCTATATGTGTCTGGTAATTTGATTGTGCTGGCGCTCAGGGATTCACAAGTTGCTTTCTCCAGGTCCACTCTAAAACGATTAGAGGATCCCCAGGCCTCCTCTGTTCCTTGCAGAGCTGAAAGGTGTGTAGGGGTTACTTTAATTCAGTTCTGCAAACATTTATTGAGGATCTACTATGTACCAGGCACTGTGCTAGGTATAGAGTTGGTATCAGAGATGAATTAGACCTCGCATTGGCCCATTGAGGAGTTTACAGACCAGTGGGCAAGACATCCCTAACTGTAATACCAGAGAGATAATAAGGGCCTCTATTCAGTACAAAGAAATTAATCTATTAAAACCAATTTTGAACAATCACTGCTGCATTTCAGGCCCTATGAGGGGACAAGAGATCTCTGCTTTCAGAGTTATGGCAGTCAAAACATCAGAAAATTTTCTAGTGGGCACCTTAAGCAATACACAATATACTTTGAGAGACAGAGAAGTAGTGATAGGAATTCCAGAATAGAACTTAATGAAGACAATCACTAAATAAAATAAGGACCTATTTTACAAATTGACTCAGGCCTTGGTAACTGATTGACTATTGACTGGAATAATTCAAGTAATGTGAGTTGCCTTCAAAATTAGACTTCTAAGACTATTTTTTCAGTTTTTGCTTTTTAAAATTAAATGAATAGAAATCTTCCAAAAAAAAGAGAAATATACTTCAATAATATAAAAAGGATAGTAAGAAGTATTGGGGAGTTATGCCATTTCTGTGGATTGAAAATGTTTGAATATCAGCATCATCAGTTTTGAACTAATAAAAACCTGAGCTTACCATCTTAATCCAGGAAGGCTTCCTGGAAAAGTTAAATCTTAAATGTGCTCGTTAAGAAGGTCAAGGATGTAGTTTTCTGGAACTGAGAGGGTAAGGGCTTTGCAGGGAGAAAGAACAGTATGTGCAAAAGAACAAGAGGCAGAAAGGAGCAAATTGTGGGTGGTGGGAGGGTGGTAAGCAGATTAGCTTGGCTGAAGAGAAGGGCTCTGTTAAGGAATAATGAGAACAGAGAAATGGGGTTGATGAAGTGGGGGAGGGAGGGTGGCTAGAAGAATGGGGGCAGAAGGTGAGAGGCCCTGAGAGCCAAATGAAGGCATTTGGACTGAATACAAAAGGCAGTAGGGGTGCTGGAGTTGGAGAGGGATTTGATGAAAGCCCTGTTTGGGAAGATTAATCTGGCAACCTGCACAAACTGGATTGAAGGAGAGAGGCTGAGTCAGGGAGACCAGCAAGGAAGTTATTGCTGCAAGAGCCTGTGCTGAGGTGAAAGGGGCCTGGGTGGGGGTGGAGGCAGAAGCATCAGGGCAAGGAACCAGATACATTGGAAGGCAACCATGGAGAAAGAAGTGACAGGGCTTGGGATGGGCTCACTGTGCTTTGTGAAGGGGATGAGTTGGAATAAACAGGTTAACATCCGGATTGGGAAGCTGGAAAAGAATGTCTGCATAAGGGTGAGGGAGTCAGAGGGAAAGTGATGGCTAACTTTTCATCTTGTTAAATTGGCGTTATTAGGAAGGAAGCCCAGGGGACAAGTTCCTATAAAGCAAGGAGGTAGGTGAAAGGTCACAGATTATTTTGGTTCACTAATAAAACTCAGGATAAAGAAATCCACCCTGGAAATTCTTATTTTCAGACAATCCTGATCAAAATGATGAGACCAGAAATTCTAGTCTAGTTCCTAACCATGTACCCATTTTCGCTCTTTATTCTTCAGGTGTCCCCAGCCTTTGTTCCCCTCCACCACTAGGCCCCTCTAACTTTCTACCCAACAGCTATCTATGAAAGTCTCTGATATACTCACTACAGTGGTTTTGCTATAGACACTATATGTCTCCCTGCCTAGAAGAACTGATATTTACAAATAAAACTGAACAGACTCAATGATACTTTAGTCAAAGGAATACATTTCTGACTGAGATTCCAGACCTCATGGTTTTGGGGAGAGAGGGCAGGAGTGGATATTTGAGAGCATGGAAAATGGTACGTGTCTGCCTCTTCCTGGCATCCTCTACCCGCATTTAAAAGCATAAGGGAAAAAAGCAAAACTCTCTGGTAAAAAGCTAGGTGATTAAATACAATCATAACCAAATGGTATTTTCAGAGAGCACTGACATGTGTGTTGTTAATGGCTAAAATGAGGCTGTATCTGCACTACACTTACATAGCTGAGCATGGACAGTAATGAATACACTTACAACCCACCCCCATTTCCATGCCCACTCCAGAACCAAGTAAGAGCCACTAGCTACCATTAGTTTTGAACTCTTAGGAAAACTAGAAAAATTACTTTGGCTTGTTTTGTATCAGATGAAGCTAGTACTAACTCTGAGCCTTGCTGTGGTGATAAAATCAACTTTGGGGAGTAAGTGTGGTATAGTATAAAAGAACACAGAATTGAGTCAAGGGCTCTGGGTTCAAAATCTCAGTTTGACTACTATTTAGCTTACCTTTTTGAGCCTCAGTTTCCCCATGTGTAAAACGTAAGTCAGATGACTTCCAAAGGTCTTCCAATTACAAGACTCTATTAGCATTGTCATCTAAGGTATAGAAGCAAGTTCCTTCATGTCATTCATTTATGATTACTGATCCAACATATATTTATTCTGCCAAGTACTATGAAGGCATAAAGTAGGCAAACCTGTCCCTGCCTTCACAAAACTTATAGTTTGGGTGTGGGGAGAAGACAGCTAATTAAATGAGTAATACTAATGAAGTATGGCATTATAAAAAATTTCAGGGCCCTAAAGGATCATGAGGAGGGCAACTTAGCTGAGCACAGGGAGTCATGGAAAACCTCTTGATGTACTTAAGTACTTAAGTTGAGTCAGGCAAAAGGATGTAGAATGTAGCCAGACCCAGCTGAGCATATGACAGAGTGAGAAGGGAAGAGTGTTTCAGGTAGAGGGCATGGCATGTGTAAAGGTCTAAAAGCAAGAGACAGACAAGTGTAAATAAACAACTGGAGGAAGTCCAGCCTGGCTGGAGTATAGAGATGAAGGAGGCTTGCAAAGCCCAGACCTGGCAGGACTCATAAGCCATGTAAAGGAATTCAAGCTTTATCCTAACAGCAATGGGAAATCATTCAATGGGTTTTAGGCACATGATCAGATTTGCAGGTTAGAAAGCTCCTCTTGACTGTAGTGTGTGAGGAATAGACTGCAATTTAGAGAGTGAAATAACATGATAAAAGGAAGAGATGAGATAGAGACAGAGACAGTGACAGTACACACACACACACACACACACCCCCCATAGAGATATCCTTTAATCACTGTAAGATCAAATGTCGTTAAGTTTGAAAGTCTACGAGTTAAATGGAACTCTGGAAAGGTAGGTGTTGTGTTTTATCTTTTCTAGATGACTAATTTTGACAGAATGCTAATTACTTGCCATCTCTGAGTCATCACAATATCCTATCCTAGAGCTAGGCTAGGTACAAGGCAACTACTCCCAGCTTTCAAGACAGAATTAGCCAAATAATCACCACACAACTAAGAACAAGAACAGATCCACAGGAAGAGGAGTTGGGGGAGGAAAGAGAGGCAATATCACATGTCTTTCACTGTGATTATCAGGAGCTTCAAATCTTCCAAAGTATGAATGGGCAAAGAAAGAGGAAATTAGAAATTTTTCCTTTGACTGGATATGGTCAAAGGAAAAAAGCCCAGTGGGGGCTGGCCTTCAGACAACCTGAATTGATGTCCCAGAACTGCTGCAAAGTAGCTGCGTGATTTGGGCAACTCAAGTGCCTCAATTGTCTCATATGTAAAATGAGAGAGTTGGACTAGATGACTTCCTAAAGCTTAGAGTTCCACAAGTCTTGTTTAAGAGCAAACATGATGCTATTGATGACTGGGCTGTCCATCCCTGTCTGTGCATGTGGCTCTCTCTGTGTCTTTCTTTCTTTTCTCCTGTGTAGTTCAGTCAGCAATTTTAAATTTTGTAATGCTAAAGATCCTCTTAAGAATAGGAACATATGTTGAAGTTTTGCATCTCCCTCTCTGTCTTTTTTAGGTTGACTGATTCTCTGCTTTTGTATAGCATCACTATCTCTCTTCTTCACCCTCACAAAATTAGTTAAAAGTTTTATGCTTAAGTTTCCTATGTGGATTTAACCCTATCTGTCTCCTTTTCCCTCTTTTCTGTTTGTTCATTCCCCCTGGTTCTCATCCACCCCCTACACCTTAGATTTCTCCTTTTACTTTGATTCATTATGACCCCTACAGGCATTGCTTAGTACTCTACTGGTGCAGTAAAAGACAGAAACACAAAATGGACATTATAAACATGCCTACTTATTTACTACAAGGCTATCATTCTGTCTGAAGCCATCTCACACCACACATAGAGCACTTATTTGCTGGGGGCCCCTCCTTGCTTTTTCCTCTCTGAAAGACACAGTGCTGGTATGCTCTAGTGACATCCCCTTCTAGAATGTACTTCATGGGGGTCCAGCTTCCAAATTACACTCCATTCAATCTGACAAGTATTTATTGAGCACCTACTGTGTGCCTAGCACTCAGCAAGATTCTCCAGGGACTGCTGGGGTCTCTAAACAATACAGCCTAATCCTGACACAGCAGGAACTGAACATTATTGCACTGGCTTTGTTTGGAAGGAAAGGCTGGGCTGAGGTTACAGCATGCAGACTTCATTCAAGTCCCTTGGCTTGGAAATAAGGCTGGATGTTCAACAAAAGTGGGAAGTTGAAATCAGCCTGAGGCTTTAATTCAGTGCATAGTTTCATTTGAACCTTGGAGTTACCTTGCGTGCATCAGAAGGGTACAATTCATTGCTTACCTTCCACAGAAGGTTCCTCTTCAGAGAGTTTCAGCATTTCTAAGATGTCTTTAAAGCCATAATCTGTCACTTTTAGTACAAAACGCCCATCTACCACACAGTTCCGAGATTTTAGCCTCCCATGAACAAACTCTCTGTGGTGTAAGTACTTCATGCCCTGCAGATGACATAACAAACTTTATTTAGGAACTTATTTAACTATTTTGTGCTTTTAGAGCCACTTTTATAGATTGTTAATGGCATGAGCTATTATGATCCAGAATTCTGCCTTTTTCTCTTCTATGCAGGCAAAGCAAACCTTCAAATAAGATTTTTAAGTCGCTTCTTGCTCTAAATGTTAGGCTTTGATGAAGAATCATATCTTGTGTTTACTGAAAATTATGTGTTACTGGGAGATTTATTGACATTTCAGACACAAGATGGATCCATACACATATAATTGCCATGAACTGAGAGATTCTGATTTTCCTCAACCTTAGACTAATGCAACTCTCATCCATTATTGGCAGGAATGGAAACCAGTATGACTTATTGGGTGGGCAATTCAGCAAGAGCTATAAAAAAATTCAAATACCATATGCTGTATCCCACATATTCTACTTCTCCAGAGAAGTACATATGTTTGCATATATACATAAAGGAAAAGAAGAATTCTCATTGCAGCTTTGCTTTTACAATCTCATATAATTGGAAGTACACTCAATATTAATAAGGGACTAGCTAGATTCATCATATTCTGCAGCACTTAAAAAAAAAAGACAGATCTGTATGTACTGACAAAGATACAACACTAAACCATAAAGTAAGTGAATTGCAGAACTATGTGATAGCCTATATATTAAAAACAGCCAATTGTGGTGGTGCAGCCTATATTCCCAGCACTTGGGAGACGGAAGATGGAGAATTAAAAGTTCCAGGCCAGCCTAAGCTACAAAGTAAGATCCTGTCACAAAAGAAAACAACAAAAAACAAAAAATGAATTACAAGTCATCAAATTGTTATCAGTAGTTAACTTTGGGAGGAAGAAATGAATAAATGTCAGTATATTTCCCATATATATTTGCATCACTTGATTTTTAAATGTTAATTTAATATTATTTTAAAAATTAAAAGAATACAACAAAAAAAGAGAAGAAAGCTTAATATTACTGATCTCTGTGCTTGCTTCGCAGCCTTTACATGACATTCAAATGCAATCTACCAGAACTCTATCAGACGGGTTAATCATTCAGCATACAAATACATCCATATTCTAGTGCAGTTGTCTCAGAACTGCTTATGCCAAAAGTCCTTTTAGGTATCTGGCTGTGCTTTGCAATCTGGCATCCCTCGCATTTGGATGCTTTACATCTTGTGCTCTCAAAAAGGCTGCACTCTCTGTAAGTACTTCCAAGCAGAGTCTACAATGGTCAAGTTTCTTCCAGGATATTTAATGTTTGGGTCTCATTCATCACAGGCCTGAGAGGACTATTATGTAGAGGCCTCTCCCTTATCTCGGTGTGGGCTTCACTTATAAGGTGAGTAGAACAAGTACTAGAATAGGAAACAGGAGGTTTTTATTTGCTATTAAATAGTTAGCTGACAAACATATATTAAGTACCTATGATGTGTGCTACTCACTGCATAACAAAGTGTGCCTCATTTAGCTTCTCTGAGCCTCTGTAAAACAAAGGTAATAACACCTATCCTACAGAGAATGGGAATAAGATAATGTCCTCCCATTCCAAGTGCCCTTGAACAGGTTTAGGTCACCACAGGAAATTCTTGACTGTGATCAATATACAGGAGGCTCAAAAGTAGCTGATTATCCAGATCAGATCCATAAAATGCATATATATGCAATTTTGCATATCATTTTATGGAGTTCATGGGCTCCACAGAAGCCCATCCATTAACTCCCATGGCTGTGAGTAGTCATTGGTACAGAGAATGGAGGTGCTGCCTTCGAGAATCAGTGGTATTTTGGCTTTTCACTGGTACTGAGTGCCACATCCATGCCTAGGCATGCGAAGACTCATCACCTAGTTCTAGACTGAGCCAACTTTTAGTTAAAACTAGAAGTGGCGGTCTAAGCAGCATCAAAAATTCTGAGAATGAGCAGCTTACCACATCCGCAAAGCAGACAAATGGGATGGAGAAAAGACTGCTTAAGGCAGAAGAGGGCTTGATGGCAAACAGGAAGTAAAGAAAACTCTGGCCCTCAAACTGAGAAGAGGCACACTTTCTTTTCTCTTCCTCCTCCTCCTTTTTTGGAGGTACCTGGGTTTGAACTCAGAGCCTTACACTTGCCAGGCAGGGGCTCTACCACTTGATCCATACCCCTAACTGGCAAACATTTCCTGTATCAGTACCTTATGACACATATGACCAAAAGGAGCTCTGAGAAGGGTAGGGATCCAAACCTTGGAAAGGAAGGTGGAGAAGTGTAAGAATCACAATCATCTAAAGAAAATAAAACATCTCAAAACATTAAAGTTCGAATCTATAGGGAAAATCTAAGATATCCCCAGTCTTTCCATCAACCTTGATGAGATCCAGTAGGAGTGATGATTTAAACATCCAGTCCAGTTTCACATCCTCATTTGTCAGTAGGTCTTCTAGACTCCTTCGAGAACAGAATTCTGTCACGATGGCAAACATCCCCGAATCACAGAAGAAACCCAATAAAGGGTTAATATTCTCATGACGCAGGTCTTTCAGCTGGAAAGAGAACAAGTCTGGAAATGAGTTCTCCCAACAAGTCTTTACATAAGAGCCCAGTGCAACTGACACCTTGACATCAGACTTGTGAGACGCTGAACAGAACACCCAGCTGAATCTTCTCAGACTACTTATTGACAGAACTGAGAGAAAATAAATTGGTGTTTTAAGCCATTAAGGTTGTGCTAATTTGTTACAGAAGCGATAAAAATGAATGCAATAGCCACAAGAGGGAATTTTAAGAGGGATCTTTTTTTGGCATTCTTATAAATAAATGCTAGAAATGCTAGAGCTGAAACTTTCCTCTTGATTTCTTTGAGATTCTCTGGAATGCAACTTAATGATCCAAGAAGACTAAAGAGGGTTAGTACAGTTAAAGGCAGAACAGGTTGCCTTTTTTGGAGAGTTATGCCTGAGAAACAGGAGAGAACACAAGATGGAGTGAATCTAACTATAACTACAATATAGCCTCAGTTCAGGTATATAATTGATGGGATTGATGGGATTAGTCCCTTATCCTGTCCACCTAACAGATAAAAAAGGAAAATCTTCACTGGCAGAAGAACATACTACCTAGAGGCTCTGCAGTTTCTTTATATAAAATGTCTAGCATATAACAAAAATTAAAATTACTAGATATTTGAAAGAGCACAAACAAAGGAAGTCACAAGGTAATGGAACAATGTCTTTCAATAATTACTAGACAAAAACTATAAAATATGGATAAATTTTATAAGAAACATTCAAAGGCAGGGGAGAATACAGGTAAAGTTTTCTTGAAAGGAAACAAAAATGGGTAAATTCTGTGTTTTTCTTCAAGGACAAAAAAATTCATTCTTCACATCAAACCAACAGACTTTCTAAAATGTATCAACAATGTCTAAAATATCTTAGATGTTCAAAAATAAAAATCCCAGGAAAATGTGACCTATACTCAAAAGGGAAAAAGGTCAGTAAAATTCAACCCTGAAATAACACAAATGGTAGAATTAAGAGAAAAAGATTTTAACGGAGATAGTATAAATTTATTTTAGGACTTAAGGCACAACATATGCAAAATAAATATACAGGTATGGAACATCAGCAGAGAAAGAAAAACTATAAATAGGAACCACTTGGAAATGAACTAAAGTGAAAAATTCATTAGATGGGCATAGGAAATGACAGAAGAGTAATGGACTTAAATATTGTTCAATAGAAAATGTCCCAATTTGAGCCAGGCAAGGTGGTACATGCCTGTACATGCCCAGCTACACAGAAGATGGAGGCAGGAGAATTGCAAGTTCAAAGCCAGCCTAGGTAGAAAAAAAAGTAGTGAGACCACGTCTCTAAAACAAAATAAAAACAAAATGCTGGGGATACAGTTTAAGAAGTAGAGCACTTGCCTAGCAACTGTGAAAAGTGTAAGGTCCTGAGTTCAATCCCCCATACAGCAAAAAAAAAAAAAAAGAAAAAGAAAATGTCCCAATCTGAAAAAAAGAAAAGACTGGGAAAAAAATGAATAGAGCTTAAGGGATAAGTAGGACAATATTAAGTAGTTCAGCACACATTTAACTTAAGTCCCAGAACAATATAAGAGTGATTGGGGCAAGAAAGAAATATTTTGAGAAATGGCAACCAAAAACTTTGTGAATTTGGTGAAAAACATCAACTTAAAGGCCAAGAAACTAAATGAACCCCAAGCAGGATAAATATAACATATTTTATCTCCTACAATCCAAAGATCAACTTAAAGATCCATGAAGCTCAGTGAACTCTAATTGTACCTTGATATGTAGTAGTCAAACTCCTGAAATCTAAAACTTTAGATTTAGTCAGAGAAAACTACATATTACATACAGAAGAATGAAAAATGGCTGACTTCTCATTAGAAATAAGAGAATTTAGAAAATAAAGGAATGACATCTTTAAAATTTCAAAAGGTAAAAGAACTGAAATTATCACAAATAATAAACATGTTGATAAATACAACAGAATATGTTTTCTTTCATTATCTTAATTTCTATAAAATATATGTGAATGTTTAGAGTTTAAAACTACATGTTAGTCATAATGTACATGAAGTTAATATATATGACAACAGAAGACCAAAGAATAGTAGCCAAAGTAAATGGAACAATGCTTTTTCAAATTTCCTATGTTTTAGAAAAAGTAATACAATATTAACTTGAGGTAGATTATGACAAGTTTAAGATACCTATAAGAACTTCTGGAATAACCATTCAAAATACAAAGAAGTTCAGCTGAAATACAAAAATAGGAAATAAACTGAAATGCACAAAAATATTTTTAGCATAAAGGAAGACAGGAAAGAAGGAACAAAAGAACAAGGAGATATAGATGAGACAGAGGATAAGCATAGAAAGACCAAAATTTCAACCATATTAATGAGTGCCTCAAATGTAAATGGAACAAACACCCCAATTAGTTGACAGATACTGCAGAATCGTGGGAAAAACAAGAACTAAACATATGCTGCCTAAAAGAGATGAAATGAACATTAAATCTAAAGATACAAACAGACAGAAAGTATAGAAAAATTAAATGAAAACTAATAAGAAAGATAAAGTGGTTATATTATTATTAGCTGAAACAGAAGTGAAGAAAATAAAACTGGAAATGAGGAACATCTCATAATGATAAAATGTGTATGTGCAGTGGTGTTCTGGAGCTGACTTATACTGGACCACAAGAATAAGATTTTGATTATTTCTTTAAAAAATTTTTATTTTATCATTTTTACATTTACTTACTTAATATTTCTTATCAACTCTGTATTCAATAGCATCACCCAGGTAGCTTAAAATCAGTCACAATGGTGGAATTTATGAAACAGAAATTAGAAAATGCTCCAAATTAGAAATTTTTCTCATATGGATTGTTGTTAAGCATTTACAAGCATACTAACATTTATGTCATTAATAACAGAGCTTCAAAGTACATGAAGAAAAGAATTCAGAATTAGATAGTAGGATAGTTTTAATAGAAATTAATAAAACATACTGACAAAAAATGTTGTAAGGATGCATAAGATCTGAATGACCCTATCAACCATCTTGACTTAATTGATATTAGTAGATTTCTACACCCAACAACTACACAATATGTACATATTAATTTCAAGTTCATATGGAATGCTCACAAGAGAGACCACCTAGTTAACCATAAAAATTTTGGTAAATTTCAAAAGACTAAAATTTCAGATTATATGCATTGACCATAACAGAGTTAAGCAAAAAATCTATTAATGTAATCTCTAGAGAAACCCCAAATGTCAGGAAATTAAGCAACATATTTCAAAATAATGCATGGATCAAAAAAAATTGGAAATCATTAATAGCTTAAAACTGAACAATAAAAATACAGCATATTAAAATTGGTGGATCCACATAATTATACCCACCTGATTTTTGACAAAGGTGCCCAAAACATATGATGAAGAGGACAACCTCTTCAACAAATATTGCTTGGAAAACTGGATATATGCATGCAGAAAACTGAAACTAGATCTGCGTCTTTCATCCTGCACTAATATCAACTCAAAGTGGATTAAGGACCTTAATATAAGACCTGAAACTTTGAAGTTAGTGCAAGAAAGATCAGGGAATACACTGGAATTAATAGACATAGACAATGACTTCCTCAATAGAACTCAAATGGCTCAGCAACTAAAAGAAAGGACTGACAAATGGGACTACATGAAATTTAAAACCTTCTGTACAGCCCACAGAATGGAAGAAAGTCTTTGTCAGCTATACATCTGACAAGGAATTAATAACTAGAACATACAGAGAGTTCAAAAAACTAAACTCCCAAAAAAATCAATGACCCAGGGGAGATTCCAAGATGGCAGGTAGAGGTAGGAAGCAGAAAGCGAGCCTCCTATAGTGAAATCTTGGAGAGACGCTGGAGACACACTTTGCAGGCATAATCACTGAGAAAAGGCATAACTTTGACCCCTCCACACTCTCAGCCGTGCAGAGAATCTCCACTTCACGTTAAACGGAGAAACGAGGAGGGCCCCCGGGGCCGCCAGTGGCCGGCACCCATACGGCTTGGGAAGACGCGGACCAGGTGAGCTTCGCGGTACCGAGGTACTCCCACAGACAAGCCTGGGCCAGAGCAGCATAGCCCCCTGGACAGACTGACCTCCACCCGGGGAAAAAAAGAGAAACTGAGTAACTGAGTAATAAGCAATAAGAACAATTAAGACACGCTGGAAAGAGGGTGGGGGGCCCTGAGCGCTGAAGATTGGGGGAAGGGAATCCTTCCCGGGACTGTAAATAAACAAGCCAGGCGGGCCAGAGAGCCTCTGGCAGGAGCGGGGCGCATGCCCAGCAACCAGGAGTGGGGAAGCTTGTGAGAGGAGGGAAGACCCACTTCCCACGTGAACTGTAAACAAACATGGCGGCCGGCAGGAGCAGCAGCACCGCCCAGTAAGCAGGAGCAGGAAAGCTTCTGAAAGTGGCAGTGGGAGGAAAACTTCAGAGGAGAGGGGGAAGACCCACCTCCCACATGAACTGTAAATAAACATGCAGGCCTGACAACGTGGGGGCAGTGTCACCTTTCCCAGTGCTTGGAAAGGGGAAAGCCTGTAGCAGAGGCTCCCGCACAGGAGAACTCTGAACAAACAAAGCCTGTGGGACCAGGTGAGTGCTAAGCTCACCCCAGAGATCTGCATAAATAACGCCGCCAGCTACAGCAGGCTGAGAGCAGCAGGCAGGCAAGCCACAGTTGCAGATACCACTCTCAGAACTGTCTCCAGACTTTTTTTTTCTTTTTCTCCCTACCTTTGATGAGAGAACAACCGAATTACACCTGCAAGCCGAAAAACTTACTGAAACTGTATTGCATTTGAACTTGGGACACTTGGTGGGGCTTTTTTGTGTGTGTGTGTGTGTGTGTGTGTGTGTGTGTAGTTTTGTTCTACTTTATGCATCCCCTTTGATGAGACAACTACAGAACAACATCTGAGGCACCAACTCCAGGACTGGAGATTGAGACGGAC